AATCTGCTCAAGAAGAACAGCAATTTATATTTGCACCCCCATGAATGACCACATTATCAACTGTTGGTATTTGTCTGAACTGTTGACCATGGAGGATAGTGAAAATTTGGTGATTTTATTGCCTTTCGCATCCTAGTAAGACAGCACTTTCCTGATTATGCGCATATGTGCTTTGGCGCATACCAGCATGTTTGAGCGTGTTACATCGCACTTTGTCACACTTCCCTAGGATCCGTCGCCCGTCCTCCGCATGTCCTGTCCTAGTCCTCCAAGGTCCATTGGTGCGTGCTCTTTTCACTAGAACTCATATACAATCACACAGGCACTTGTACTTATTACTATGTATCGTTATGGACCCTGACTTACCTCATCACATACCTTAGTGCTCCCTACTTGGTTCCGAGGCCTGGGAACTCGCTTAGCATACTTACATGTCAGCATGTTCATTTTTCTGTTACTGACTTCGGTTCCACTACCATCCAAGTGTATAGCACTAGTGACCATCTAAATCCACAAGTTTTTCCTCCATTTGGCGCTTTGACATCCTTAAGTGCTTATTGCCATGTCTATCTTTCCTCTTGGTTCTCTATTTGATTGCCACCTCGACTCGAGCACTCTGTTGAGATCGCACGAAACGCGCTGACACGCACGAAACATGTTTCGTACATGATCACGGACACATAACATACTCTTGTACAACCTAATACCGCCAATAAAGGCAGTTCTAATTTCTTATGGCTTTATTACAATTTACTATAATTTTCTTGAAGGTTTTTCATAGCTACATGAATTAATCATTCATATTACGTACTTAGCACAGTCAACAAACTGTGTTAAAAAAACCCTTATCCTTTCATAGTAAGCACATTCCCAGCACCTTTCGGGATTTTCTTGTACATTTTCCCACCTAATGAGCCATATTCGTGTTAACATCTTAACATCTCAACATCTGCACAGTCATCATCTGAGCAGTGTCAATCTTCTTATGTAATCTACATTTTGTTTAATGATTAGTCATAGTTTCTGGACAGTTCCGAAATAGCAGGTAATCTCTAAGTGAACATTTGGACACTGAGTCATAGTGAGTCACATGGAGTCATTATGAGTCATTTCTGTTATGACTCATACCAAGTCATTATGAGTCACTATTCCATATTTAGTAGTTGCATAGCCACCTGTAGAGTAGTATATAAAGGGACATAGTTTCCCTCTTTGAATAATAAGATCCCTTTTTAGAGAGTTTGCGTATCTCTCAGAAAGTTTCTCACCCCTTAATATCTGTGTGAATACTGAGTGAATATTAGTTTATTCCCTCCACTCTTTTGTCACTGTTTCCCACGACGTTCTGACTACCTGAGGCCACCTCTAAGTCACATTAAATTACTCTAGCTAATGCACGGTTACTAGTCGTCTAGTGTAGTTTCACTGCAATTCTCTTTACGACACAGGAAATCAATTCTGTGGGGAGAAATCCACGTACTTTAAGCAATTGAGGACGATAAATAGGACTTATACTTTAGTCAACAATATTAAGAGCTTGGCCACTTAAGACTACATCAAGAAGGTGTATTCTAGTCTGGACTGCGTCATTACTCATTGTGAGATCCTGAGCAGCAGAAAGGTCGGTTTCGAAGCCACGTATTTGATTGATTCAACTGTATCCGACTCCTAGTTTGATCTCCCCTGATTGTGAGAATAAGGAGTATCCCAGAGATATCGCTCTGACTCTCGCATCATTATCCCTGAAGAACCCTAAGTACTGCATTAAGCCAGTTAACGGGCATTGTTCCTGAGATTCCCGAATATCTCGCCCCTTTTTTTAGTCATTGGTAAATTTGCTCAAGGAGAACGCAATCTATATTTGCACCCCCACGAACGACCACGTTATCAACTGTTGGTATTTGTCTGAACCGTTGACCATGGAGGATAAGTGAAATTTGGTGTTTTTATTGCCTTTCACATCCTAGTAAGACAGCGCTTTGACATTAGAACACACTTTTCCACACTTTCACCTTATCAGCGCGTTTAGGTGCCCCTCATCTGTGCACTTCGCCTTTGGGTGCATCAGTGTCCCACTCAGGTCTCTAGACAGAACTGCCAGTTATAGATCCCCCTCATCTTTTCTAGAGGAATCTTTCTCAGTAGCAATCCCCTTGGGATGACTTTTTGCTCATATCCAGAGGAGTACTTGAGAGCCCACTTCCCACTCTTCCCCCTTAGCATTCAGCTATCATTCCTCGCCCTCAACGAGTCAATTGATTGATGAGAGTAAATGTGAGTTCAACCTTTAGATGAACCTTTGTGAATTGAAGAGTGTTGTTCATGTGCATATGGATCTGAGCTTGTTTAGAGCTCACCAGGGGCTCATAACATATTTGCACTAGTGGGGAAACACACTCAGTAAGTCACATAGAACAATACTATATTGTCAATATGTACCTAGCAGGAAAACATGCTAGGATACATCAGTAAGAGATAAGTGCAAGTTGTAAGAGAGTATGCACACCTCAGTAAGTCACATAGAACAATACTGTGTTATGTGGACAACATGAACTATATATGACAGACTATGAGATTAGGTAAGAGACCAGGGAAACAATGCATCAGGAAATCACGCGCTTACTTTTTGCCACTTATAACAAACTTATAAGCAACTTTTTGTACAATGCCCTGCCTAGCCCTGCAAAGGCGAAAAAAGTAAAAGCTACTTTTTTCAGCAGATCCCTCTACTCAATTGTGACTTTTTTCACACTTTTTACGCAGAAAAAAAGTAGATGAAGTGTAGAAAAAGCGGACAAGCATACGCTATTTTTTTCAGTAGATCCCTCTACTCAATTGTGACTTATTCCCAACTGTTTCACACTTTTTTACGCAGAAAACAAAGTAGGATTGCATCAAAAAAGTTTACTACACCAACAAAAAAAAGTAGATGAAGTGTAGAAAAAGCAGACAAGCATGAGGGCGTAGACCAGCGGGAAGATTTATACCTATATGCCAGCAACTCGTGAACATGGGGACTGCGTTCGTTTAAAAATCAAGGGAGCTGTGATGAGGTCCATCAAATTGTCGTGGTCGAGTTTGCGACGGGGCCAGTGTTCACGTCATTCAAGTTTATGGTCCATCGAATGAATTCTCGGGGTTAACATTCACATTGTTCGAGTTCGTGGTCCATCACTTGGGGTTAGCATTCGCCTTGTTCGATTTCGTGGTCCATCTTTCAGGGTTAGTGTTCACCTCGTTCGAGTTCATGGTCCACAATCAGGTTCTCCGCAGTTTTTTCTGGGCTAGTGTGTTCGTGTAGTCGGGTCGGTCTTCTGGTCAAGGCTGCGACCTTGGAAGGAAGCAGCGGAGGAGTCCGAGTTGAACGTGAGACTTGGGAGTAGATTTAACAGACATCCGACTAGTTAAGAGTAGAGAGTAAAAGATTCGAACTTAGAGAAAATTGTTACAGTGATCGGCAAACTCCGATACCAATTCAGGCTCAGCAGAACGCCTGTAATGTTTAATCATTTGTCTTGCACGTCGTTGACTCAAGACCTTCACACATAACTCGAGTAATCTGTCCTATCCTTCAGTTAATTCTACTCGCAAAGTGTGCAACTTTTCTGTCTCTGGCCCTTGCTCCCACTGTCTGCCAGTGCTATATCTCACTACCTGTACTAATATCCAGGACATCATTCACATGCATGCGAGCGCGTCGATGCCACCTGGACTTGAAGGAGTACTAGGAAGGAATGGTGACGCTGGTGTGTGGGTTAGTCATGGACATTCGGAGCTGATGGGACGAGGTTAGATGTGGATGATGATGGCATGATGCTGCTGGGGCCCTCAATATCGCAACCATGCTCAGGTCACTCGTTGAATGTGGGTCACCGGCTCCAGTGCATGTTCGCATGTTCAAATTATCTGAGAGTATAGTACCTGCAGATCCGTAGAATTACTACGACTTTTTTTGTGTAATACATGCTTTTCGAGCAGTGTCAACTTTTTTTGTTTAGTGCCAACTTTTCGAGTGCTTTTCTCCTTTTCTACTTATTTCAGTCCCTGCTACTAATATAAGTGTGGTTGAAGTAAGAAAAAGCTGAAAAAAGTCGAAAAAGTAAACTCATGATTTCCTGATGTGTGCAGAGAGAGTTTATGTGGGCAAGAATCAAGAAGCTGCCAAGACTAAAGCATTACATGTGGTGTCAATGGTGATAACATCAAGATAGTAATATAAGATCTGAAAGGTAAAAATCAAACCATCAACAGTTTTGTACCCATGCCTGTATGGGTGGGCCAATCACAGGTACCCATACCCATACTACCCAACCCACCTGCAGGTGGTGCCTGGGTGGGTATCCAGGTAAGCCTTACCCATATCATACCCTAGTACACCAATGAGCAATTTTGAACTTGATGCATCACCAGCCAAGAACACACACAGTCCTAAGCACACAGTGGTGTCACCAACCCCTGTGTTAGAGTCTCCCACCAAAAAACAACGAACAAAAGCTGATGTCATGGATCTTGATGTCTGGGACAAAACCAATGACAAGATTATAAGTATGTCCCCCTCTTCATTCAATTTCATTGACAAATTCACTAGCCTTTCACCTGCATCTAAAGCTAGTTGGAATTCCATGCATACCAGTCCCTGACTCCCAAACCCAATTTCTCCCAACACCTTCCTTGTTAAGCATGACACCATCTGACACAGGACAGTCATGGTTTGTAAACTTGGAGGACAACATCTGCACAACACACTTTTGGATAATAAAGCAATTTGTCACACCGAGGACATCAAAATAGAGAGGCAGATTGTCATCATGGTTCCCATTCTGGATCACAACTTCATTGATGGTCTCAACATGTTGCGAAAACACTGCACATACAGGATGAGGACACCAACAGCATGCTGTTTGATAGTCACGTGAGCACTCCAGTACGACAGTGGATGGCACAAGCATTGGCCAAGCCTGCTCAATATCTGACCGAATCTGACATTCTTGTGAAGCTGCTCACTCTTTTGCAAGTTTTCGGCCCTCTTTGAGTGTTTCAGACTGGGCAGTCTGGGTTTGAAGCGGTTCACGGAGGGTATTGATGATGATGTGGGAATACTTATGGCACAGGATGCTTAAGACCAAGGAGGGTCGATGATCAACAGGCATGAAGGGCAAAACTGACAGCAGGGAACACAAGAATTCATAATCGGACAGAGAGAAAAGGTAGCTCACGTAAGATTGCATGTGTTGCACCAACGAAGAGAAAGTCGGTAGTCCAAGTCCCACTTCACAAACGACACCGAATAAGCCACACGACTAACACGTTACACCATATGATCTGCAGGTGACATATCCGACATAGATATCCACACGACGATGTCGGGGTCGTCCACTTGCTGATCCATACGCCAGAGATGGAGGTGCATGCGCGTAGCGAGGATAGCAAGGATAAAGACCTCAAAACTGTGTGTTTGGGGGTGCTGTCAGTAGGGATTCGTAACAGAAGTTGGAGGTGCATACGCTTCGGGGAGGAAGTAGGATAGGAACTGGGTGTACACAACATCAATGGTTCGATCATGTCGAAGAGTATTGTTTACGCACATCAGAAAGCGGCAGCACTAGTAGTACTGGCGCAAGGACGTTCACGGTCGAGAGAACTTTCGAAAAGTCAATCATCACCGATACGCACGGAAACATATGTAGGTTCTGACTCACGCAGACCGCATGTATAGTAGAATATGTTGTGCTTCACTAGGATGGCATAGAGAGGGCCCTTGGCAGACCGCCAACTCTGTATGACACACACAAGTGTGAGGGACACTAGTACTGGGGATAGCGTCAGTCAGCGCGTGTCTGCAATGTACACTCCCAGTTCCCGGCTGCCTACCCAGTTGGAACACAGACAAGAGAATGAACGGTATGGAGAATGAAAAACTATCCGTATTCCGGCGACAGCCTGGGATCACGTTACTCGTAGCTGTGAAAGCGGAGTGAATATGTGCAAATAGCAGTGAGTGAAGGTGAGAGCACAAACGATAAGAGGTCGCAGTAGCAGTAAAACCAATTATGAAGATTGATACGATGACAGCCTGACTGATGTATGAACATTGAACTTGGGTGTGGTGAGGGCGTGGGGCTTACAAAAAGGGTGGATAGCATGGTTACGAGTATGATTCTATTTTTGTTCCAGAGCACATACGTTCTGAGGACAAAAAAGCCTGGATGAATCAGATCAGAGACGCGTGTATGTCTCGGAGGAAAGAGAGATACATTAAGAGCAAGTGAGTGAAATCAGACTCAAGGCTGTAAGAAGAAATAGCAGCGCTCGATAAGAACGTGCGTGCAATATGTACCGGGCACGTACATGTGATAATATCCATCAACATCTGGCATTCCTTCAGAAGTCATACAGTAAGCGTCATTCGTCGGTGGATAAATGCCCATGTTCACATACATTGGTATTGTCGGTCGGGGCCATGGCCACTGAAGCACAGTATGCCAATTCATTAAGTTAGGAGAATATATACTGGGATGAACGCACCATATAGGCTCACGGTGGCGATTAAAAAGGGGGCATATCGTACAGTGATGTAAAGGGCTTTTACTTTGGTCCAGCGCGACCGAAGAAGGAATGTCCACTTCAACAGCTAATTATTAATATCAGAACCGAGGCGTATCGCGAAACTTACCTCTTCGTGAAGTGAACAAATATAGTCATAGGTCTGGATAAACAAGTTTAATGGCGGACGGAAACAGATCGGGATAAACATACCCAGAATGTCACAATCGACACTGAGCTGTCTAGTTAGAACGAGGAAGATGCAGTTCAGACAGCACGCACTGTATAAGTACTAGTTGCCACACGTGATGTATCTGTTATCATCTTGCTGTCGTGTCAAGAAAGCAACGCACCATGAAGATCTGCAGGCTTCTGGCCGCTGTGAGATCGTCCGCCGGATATTCCATCTGTATTCGTTCGAGAGGAAACAAATGGGTTTCGCGTACACATCCGTTCACCTTCTTAAACGAGCTGGGAACCCCGGGCCGGATACTGGGGACGCCATGCCGGTGCTGAGAATATCGTGACGCATTGTTTCACTGGCTGATTTACAGATGACGTGGTCACAGCCTGTACTAGGCTGGGCGCAACTTAATAAAAGTTACAGTTGGTGCCATAAATGCTTTGTATTTTCATTGATAATAAGGCCTCTATTCAGATGTAGCCCAATAATACGCATAATTAGATTTAGTTTGATCATTAAGGTTGATCCGGAAACTCACATGCGTTAATGGCACCGATCCTTGATCTGCTTGATGCTTATAACACCATCAATCCTTAAAACACGCAGCCACCTCGGAGGGTCCTACTTTCTACAACTTGAAGGAAGGCTTAACCTCTGTAGGTTAGCCTTGGCCGTTTCAGACACACGCTTCTTCTAATTTGAGACAACTTTAATATGGGTGTGATGATGAGATATGCAAAGTTGAAAGCAGACTGGAAGAAGCTAACCCGTTGTCGTCTACATGAAACCAATTGATCTGTATTTATACATGAATCTGTAAGCAAAGGGGTGGATGTGATCAGTCAGCAACTAGTCTTCATCTAACTGGTGCCTTGATTAACGCTGTCTCGCTGAGAGCATGTTGAATAATCTTCTCCACATCGCGGCCTTTCGCTGCAGGCGTGTACCAGCTCGACTGGCCGGTGAGGAGATCAGGGATGGAGGAGGCTCTGATACAAGTGTGCATTGGAAGACGTAATTATGGATCATGTGTGAGGTGGAATTCCGAACGTATTGTGATCAGGGGTTTCCTCGCTGATCCTGAATCGTTTAGTTGTAGAGTCGGCTCTGCGACATCAAGATTGGATGGTACGCACAAAGTATTGGCAAGCAGAGCTACTAGTCGTGATCGAACCGATCCCTCACGAAGCGCGCTTGAAGTCGCACTTGCTTCGGGATATCTGCATATTTGGGCGTCAGGACGATAACATACGTCCTTCGTCATCGCACCGGTCAAACATCGTACGTGAATAAACTGTGTCTTGTCCGGAAACGCGGGAGGATGCTTCATCTGGGACTCTGGGCCACGATGCTTTGAAAGCTCGAGTAAATATGTCGGCTTTCCTAGACGAGTTGGAGCGATACTCTTTGTCAAACGATGGGTATATCCTTCAAGACCGATGTAATTGCTTTGGGCACAGAACGACCATTATAAGCATCAGAAATATCTCTGGATTGTCAGCTGTACAAGGCTAGTCGATTACGACTGATGCGAGGTATAGGGTTACATTATGCCGCATCTAACCATAAGTCGGACTCGGACGCACCATGTATATAGTGGTACTGGAGCGGTATATCCGCGACTGTGTGCCTGCGTGTCGAGAGCCAGGTGAGAAGCGGTCACGGTGGAGAGCACTAGACCTGAGGACGCTACCCAAAGGACACTAAGTCGCTGACTAAGCTACGGTACTACCCGGCTGCGCACGTCCCCTAGGGCCCTAAGAGTGTCCAGTACTAAGCGAAGACACCAACAACTTGAAGGACCAAGGGCTGAGGCGAACCACTCAGAATGTCCGGTTTGTACTTGTGCTCACAAGGACTGAACATTAACCCAAGGCTATGCTGCGCAGCAGTCACAATGATGTTAGAGTCGCCAAGCTTTTGATGGATTAAAGATTGACACATGAAGGATCCGTATCTGCTCTTCTACTGGAGCTCGTCGTCGTGGTGCTCGCCGTCGTCATTGTTGTCCGTATCATAGTACGACTGTACAGTCTGTACAGAGGAAAGTATAGCCCTCAGGCAGCTGAGAATCTCTAGCTTGGACAGTCTCCCTAGCCTGTGTACCAGGTCTGTCGCAGGGAGGGAGATCCACTTCAGAGAGCTGAATTACAGGTATTTTCTATCGGAACACACCTTTACATTGACTCATGGATGGTTTCTTCACAGGTCCGTCTAACTGGTCTTAGCCAAGTGGTTACCACAACAGAGTCTCTTGGAGTGAGTTTGAAACCTGCTCACATCATTTTTGCAGTGTATAGATCCTCGGAGGTCCATCTTAATTAGGCCCAGTCATTGCGCTGAAACCTCTTTTATGTGATTGTCTGTCTTTCATGCCCCGTGATGGCATCAGCTTTTCGTCGCAAAGTTTTTTCCAGTTATCGTCCACAATTAAGTTATAGGCGTTCAAGAAGATGATTCAACGAGAACATGACGCCGAGAACTTAAAACACCATTCATACACTGTAGGTGTTGATTCCATCAAGCTTGTTCACTGTTTATTCACTGTAAGTTATTCTCATTCGTTACTTTCAATTCCTTAATGCACTCACAATCTCATCTGATCAAGTGAAACCAGCGCTCGCGAGTTGATTGTATTACGACCACCATTAAACATGCATTGCCTAAGCTCTCTGGTTCACTAAAATGATGTGGCGGTGGCCTTCCATCGGACAAACCTCTCACAGGAAAGGAATGCCACGGTCACCGTGCTCAAGCATCTTCCGACTGCTAGTAAAGCCAACCCCTTAATTTGTGCTTTCCGAAAGTGATATCCATCTCAATCATGTGTTGAAACCTGTCTATTGAAATGCACTCATTCTCATCACACATGTAACATATTGTCCGACAGCGAATTTTTCGCAGCTTTTTATGATTGTTGCCCTGGCCTGCTACTTTCCAAAGGATACCACTGATGATGGACAATTAGTATACCTTCTATGCATTCTAGTACACAACATTAGTACGTGTGGAACAAGGTTGCCGCTGGCGAAGCTCGGCCTTTATCTAGTGTCACGGTGTGTTCCAATAGAAAAAACCTTGTCGGCAGGTTTCGAACCTGAGAAGCGACTCTGTTCCCCGACTTTACGCGGCTCTGTTAACTGGTCCTCTGAACGTCCAGGCACCTGTATTTTTATATGCGCCGCCGCTACGACATCTTAATCGTGAAAATATATAATGGTATGTATATCTGCTAAAACTTTTTTGTATCCATTTCTGTCCTATGCAGGCATGCCTGTGTCCCTGCCACACTTCAAGGCTCAGAAATACCCTGGCGTGAGGAGTCCTCCGCCAGTCCGCCGTTCCTGCCGGCCGTTCACTGCCAAAACTTCAGAGACATCACGTAGGTACACGGTCAGTCAATAAACTCATCAAAAAAATAAATCCCAAGGAGGTAGAGCAAGCCAAAGCCAACGCGCCCCACCAAGCAGTTTCAGTTAAACCTAAGTCTAAGTTATCAAACACAACGATGCCATATGCCTGTTGGACCCCTCTCCCCAACACGCTCGAGTTGCAGTAACAATTATCATAGACGTCCGAAAACTGCAGCATGCTGGCCGTGACTACCCAGACTGCATTGACGGTTGCCAAGAATTTTCCACCCCATCTCAAAAGGTTCGATAGGACCTTTGCGAGACGCATTGTGATAGAAAAGAAAGGACTCCAACTGGATCTGCCCGAGTATGAATATGTGTAGTGCGAAATAATGCTCGACGCGACGAGCATCGCCCACACTACCGTAGCCAGTGCGCCATAGATGATATAACCAAGAGATCTACAACCAAGGCCCTGTCGTGTCCCGTTTGTCAGCAACAAGTACATGTGTGTGCATCAAACGATGCTTACCACAGCCGGTGTAAAATACACAACCAACACCGCAGCTCCAGTTGTTGCCCACTGCAAAGCTATGGGCAAGAGTGATGCCACAAACATACGGAAGAATATCCCTGACGCCCAGGGGTTCCGTCTTCCGTATCTAGGTGCTGCGTATCGAGGAAGTCTACAGTAAGCATTGACTTCGGACGGGTTTCCAGACCTATTGCTAGGCTCGATAGTGTTCCTCCCGCCCGCATTCTTCCACAAATCACCCACCCTGACCGGTCTATGCATTCTGGAATTGTCGGAGGCCATTCGAAAAGCATCGAAGACATCCTCCGCCGACCGAGACCATGGGATGGCCCTGGCATAATTGTAGACGGGTGGAGTTGAATTTTCGTCAGGAGAGGAAGGGTGTTCCAAAGTGGAATCAATGGATATTGCTCGTCTTTCGGAAAGGTCTGAAGCCTTCACGACTCCATGATGGGTGGTTACAAATGCCATTGCATCTGCATTGTCCATGGCCCGTTTAATGCGCACATAGTCACACTTCGGAGATAGCTGCAGCCAACCTATAACGATTGGTATGAGCCACGACCAAACTGACGCCGCGCCTTGACCGTTGGAGTTGATATTGGCGTCAACGTCCGATAGCGAGCTGACGACTGTCAATAGGTATGCAACGGTGACCCAAGCAATGGATGTCGCAGATGCGATGGACCAAGTGAGAGTATAATCGAGAAAATCGGCAATCGTTGGCCACCAGTCGTCATTCTCTGGCAGGACAATGAGAGAGCTGAGTAGCGAATCTTCATTTGTTATTTTCAGTGGTGTTTGTTGAAGGCTTATAAGGATGCGGGCGGCGTGTCTGGCGTTGGGGAAGGACACATTCTCAAATCGGCGACTGATCCACCGAGCATTGAGAATGGTTAGAATCATCGAGTAACCGGCGAGCACCGGTGAACCGACTGTGAGGATAGCAGACATGAGGTTGTCAACTCTATGTCTTGCACCGAAAGGCAGCTGAGAAATGAGCGCAAGGTAGGGTAATAGCCAGGCACTGAACTGCTGCGAAGTGTTTGCCCAGGTGGGCTTCTGTGTTCCAGGGCCGCACTTTGAAAGACACGTATCATAGGTGAATCCAACTGCTTGTGAGATCTCCGACGATGTATTTGTTATATTTCCACCATTTGCATCCACTAATCCTGAAGGGTTGAGTGTCAGACTCGCATTATTTCTGAAGTTGATAAAACAGTCGGTAAAGTTGATCGCATACGTCCCTCCGAGAGACGCGAGCAGCAGGAGAAACAATCGGATCTCTGGGAGAATGGTAAGCAGAAGTCAAGACTAGATTTCGGACTCACTCATTGTATCGCGCATTAGCTGCATCATAGGGTAGAGTGCACCAATAGATTTATATAAGGGAGTTCCCAATTCACAAGAGTGACGAAAAATTATGTGACCAACAGCTGTTTAACATCGTCATCCAGAACTTTTATTTTCAAACTTGGTAACTCGTTATCGACTGATATCTGAACTTTGAAATGATACAGGAACTTACCGTGTCCAGTTTCGGCCCGACCTCTCCAAATCAGTGAGAACGTTTACTCCAAATTCAGGAGCCTCGGGTGTAAATGTAACTGCAGGAATTTCGCAGATACCACACCTGTGAGTCTTACTCGATGATCCTAATGATCCAGGGAGACATACACCAACTATTGCCTTCGAGGCAAACCAGACATGCAGTGCGAAGCAGAGCAAAGAACCTCGTGTTTGCGTCTATATATGTGGGAGTTGTGGATTGGTTGAAGATTAAACCAGACTTCGTCGACACCGCAGAATTGTTTAGATAGCGGATTGCAGTAATGCGAGGCGGACAGATATGCATCTGGTGAGTACATCCTGAAGAGCAAATATTACTATAATTTAGAACCGAGCACAAAATGGAAGGAAGCACCAGCCTGTAACATTTTTACGTGTCATGCGCTCCGTGTGTCGCTTGCTGTGCGTTAATGCGGGAATACTTGAGAACTAACGAATTTGCGCCTCCGAGTCGAGGCTCTGGCTCGCCACTACAGGGAGGACAGTAGCCCACTCGTGAGGCCTTGAGGCCTGAATCCTGATGGTCTAGGTGAAAGTAGTGTTGAGTAAGCTTCCAGATTCACTCCCGCGTAGATATGCATCCGGAGAGATCCGGAGGACGAAATCTTCAGGATCGATAATCTCCATCTCCGACTCCACTAAGTTAGTGGAGAGGGTTTTCAGTGTTCACGGACAGAAACGTTCAGGTGAATCTGCATTCGTGGGAATTCGATAGCGGCGGGTAAGCTGATGACTGTACAAGCTTGCAGTAAATTGACCATTAATATTGATGTGCCTTGAGTTTCTGAATATTTGTGAGTGTCCGTGGTCTGCCTATGAGGGGGTGTCCTGCTGTCAACGATACTGTTCGTGTGCAAAAACGAGTAATGGTCTTGCCTGTCGTATATGAGATTGTGCCATCTTTTTGCAATGTATTGGCCCGAGTAATTCCCTTGCACTCCGAGTCTGTCTTTAAAGAGCCCTGACAAATATTACATTGCGTAGATACTATCTATAAAGTATGAAGCCGTTATGACGGAGTGTCTCGCTTGTCAGATTGCTTCCTCGCCGAGCGCATGAAAATGGTCAGACGGGAATGGAAAATACAGATAACACGGACAAGTGGCCAGTCACGGTCTCAAAGGATGTTCTGTTGGAGTGCTTACGTCGCTGTTATGATGCGAGTCAAAGCAGATCAAACCGCCTATTTGCGCAGTTTTCTCTCAAAACTTACATACACGATTCAAAAGTAGCTGTCATTTCAGCTTATACTGGTGTGCCTTTGCCAATATCTCTCCGAGTGGTTGACGCCTTCAGCACCAGACGATGCATCCTGCAGTTGTGCCCGCGTCATTTATCTTCAAAAACGATACTCTTAATGATGCTCGGCATCATTGGCAATTCTTCTGAACCCACTGCAATGAACGTGTTCGCCGACTCGGACTGCTTTGCGACATCACCAAAGAAAATGGACATTCGATTTGCGCTCGCAAGTGGCCTTGAGGCATATTTATTTTAGCCGTCAGATCCGATGCAACCGTCACGGCGGGTCTTTCATGGCAATATATACTATGTGCATGAAATGAATGTTGTGTCCACGGCGTTTGTGTTGCCTCGAATTTCCGCCGATATCAGCGAGCTCCTGAGTATTGTATTTGTTGGCCCTGGAAAAATCAAGCCTGATCAGTTACGTCCTATTTCTTGAGTACAATGAGTACGCAAGGATGCATCTTGGTGTTCCTCGTGTGGTCGGAGTATCACCATCGGTTGTATTTAAACATACACAACTTGAACGAACGAGAAAATGTCGAGCTTAGCCAAGCTCCGACAATGTGATACCTGGCTTGAGGAGGAGCCTTCAACTGTACTTTAAGAGCATCTTGCAGAGCTTGCGGTGGACGGAACGATGACGGGTCCGTTATAATGATGCTTTGAAGATCGGCCTTTGCCCGACTTCTTCCGTTTGGAATCGGAGAGTTGGAGATAATCAACCTGCGAATATATTGTGTGGACCGTCTACTACTATTGTCGACTACCGGTGTATCGACAAGATAGTAGACGGTCCCAATGATTGGAGTCGGGGATTGGTAGCTCGCCGCCGCTGCGATGTAGTAATGGTTACCACTAGTTTAGCCAGGATGCTTCCCAAGTTAAGATGAACTTCTGAAGAACTCTCCATGAGATGAGTGGATGTCAAGGTGTCGCTAATAAGAGGGGAATTCATTTGTCGGTAGATTTCGCTTGAAGGCGTGCCACGTAAAAGGAAAAAAAACTGTTGAGCAGGTTTCGAACCTGCAACAGATGTCTGTCCTCTCGTATTTACCGCTTGGCTAAAACGGGTCAAGCTTGAAATGGACGTCTACGAGTCGCAATATTAACAGCAAGAATTCGATGGACACAACACATGTCAGCGAGTGGGGGGCTGGCGCCAGCGCCGTTACGATATACTATCGTCTTCCGGTCATGATGCCCTCACAATTGCTATGACGTTATCTTCGTCTTTCAATTATCCCTGAGCTGTTACTGTATAATATGTACAAAACTAGATCTTACGCTCTTCCTGGGAAGTCATTTGACTCGTTTTAATCGTTGTTCGCGCTGCGCGCAGATAAAGCTACTGTAATAAGTAATGGTATGCGCCAGGAGGATGGTCTTGAAGTAATCGGAAGCTCAGCGCGTCGAAGGTGTGCAATTCTTGACATGGGCCTAAGTCGTGTCAAGGCGTAGTAGTTCAATCTCGGTTTTTGGGTAACACACCCCGGGCCGCTCAACAAGTCCATGAATTTCACCCGCAACTCGTCCCCGGGGCTGGCACTCAAACATACAACAAATGGTATATATATGGTACAAAAACTATACAACGAGGCCCTGAGATATTCACGCCAAAGCACCCTGGGTAAAACGATCAGCATCTTGCATGTGCAAAATAATACTGTCCTACCATGGGATCCCAAGCAGGTAACACCACCTTCTCCCCCGATTCAAAGATCTTTACATGCTCCTTTGTGGCCAAAGACTTGTGCACCACGACCTGGAACACAAACTGGTCGAACCACTTATCACTCATCACATTATAACCCTGTACGCCACTATCTTCACCCCAGGAGTTCTCCACCTTGAATCGGACGGGACGACCAGTCTTCTCATCCACATGCACGCCGGATATGACCATGGCATGTGTCATGGCGGACTCGTTTGTCTCCAGTCGCTGGGCCTTGGTAAGCCCCAGCGTGATGTTGAACGCTTGCTGTAAGGGGAATGAGTAGATTTTAAAACCGTCATTCTTATATTAGGAATGGCTTACTTCGTATTCGAAATAGTCGGTGTCCATGATACCGACGCCCTTGCCGGAGTCAGAGAATTGACCTACATCACAACCGAAGAAGACTGGCTGGCCGGCCTTGATAGACTGTGTACGGGGTCGGAATCAAACCAAGTAATTGAAGGATGAATCCAAAACTGCTCACTCGGACTATAGCCTGCTTGAGGTCATCGACCTCAGTGTTCACGTCTGCTAGCGGTTAAGCTCTTGTAATGCAGACTTGATGCACACGACTTACACAGAACAGGTCGTCCGCCCCAAATGTTGCCGAGCTTGTTCACGGTGTATAGCTTGCCGTACTCATTTCGCGGGTCGTTAATAAGAGAGAAAGACTCCGCCGGCTTGAGACTTGTGAATGCACATTCGTCAAGATTGTCACATGCACTAACCGAGAACTTGGCTGTGAAAGCCTTGTAGAACTCCAGAGGAGTACCCTCCCACTTCGCATACTTGCCATCTTCAGTGTAGTACTCCCAAGTGAAGGGTGCGTTAGGCTTAGGAGGAACACCCAGGGTCGCGCTCATGATGGTATAAACCTCTTGCATAAGCTCTTCCTTCTTCGCACGAAGAGCCGAGATAGCTGATTCCTGCGAGACGCTGGGATCGGCCTTCAGTGATGAAGAGAGCGTGCGAAGAGTAAGAGCATGCTCTCGGAGCTTCGTCTTCAGAAGGATGTTGATGGGATACGAGGCACTTGAATGGAATGACTCGGGGTAGATTGGCTGAGGAACAAGACCATATGTCTGGGAGATGTTTAAGACATGCCATACTATTGTCTGTAAGGAAAGCGTACCTCAAGCAAGTTGACAGCCATGTCCCATTGACCACCGTCGCTAATGAGGTCCTTCGCGAGGAAGTTGACCAGGCGATCATCGACAGGCAGGTCTGCATTCTCGATAGAAAGCTCGAGGTAATAATTGGACTTGTTCAACTTATCCCAGAAGAAGAGGTATGACTATAGGATTCTGTGAGTAAGGGAGCTAGCGAGAACCGATTATCATAAACGGTCACCTGGGAGAGCTGGAATTCCTTGAGCTTCAGCTTCTTGATGACTTCATGTCGAATGACATTAGTAGTTGCAAAGAGCCAGCATCTGCCACTGGATTTCTGGTTTGTAACAGGTGCAGTTTTGAGCTCCACCTCGTGATTGAACACATGGGGTATTGCAACACCGGCCGGACGACTGGTGAGCGACGACTTTATATCGTTGTGGGCAAGGATTGTGCGGGCAAGTTGGATCTTTGGGTCCGCAGCGGCAGCGGACTCCCAGGCATCGACGTTAGACAGTGAAATTGAACCGTCGGCTGCCAAAGGCGGCGAACCCGCTGTGGGTGACGTGGAACTCTGTGTGCGAACAAAACCTTTCTCGTCGTGCAATTCGGATGAAGATGTTGCGTTTAGAGTGACCGAAACTTGAGCAGGAACCTTGGATACAGATGAACCCATCGTTGCAAGGAGGACTAGACGAGCGTCACAGGAAGAGATAGGCTGTAGACCAGAACAAGTCTTTTATAGCTCGCTTGGTATTTTGGGTATGATAAGACTAGCTTCGGAAGCACGCTGTCCCTTCCAACCAGCCCGTGATGATTGGTCCGGGGAATCTGTCGGTTCACGCCGTAAATGATGGCATTGAATAACCCCGGAAGCTCTTGCCAAGGAACGTACACCCGCCCGACCAGCTGAAATCGGGCAAAACTTTTGGCCTCAAAAATATCTGAATCCTTATCTGGATGTGGTTAAGCCATCTGCCTAGACAGGATCCATACCTGGTAGTCTATCTGTACTCGTGAAGAATTCGGACGTCGCAAATGCCAGACTAAGAAGCGAACAGAGTATCATGTACGTAGTCTGTGTGTTGTTCTAAACGTAACGGAAAACCCGGATCCGGACTAATATGGTTCTCCGGACTTCCGACTCGATCGGGTTTGAAAATTCCCATTTTAGGACACGCAGCTGTGTAACTTCGAACACGCCCCCCACATGTCTCAAAAATGGAGCTGGAGCTTCTGGGGTCCTGTATCTGATTCGGCCAGGCACCAGGCCCAGCGTTGCGTTATATCGCCTACGTAAACCTTTTCTGGACAATCTTTTGCAAGTACTAGTAGTATATCTACCAGTGATTTGGTGTCGTCTCTCGTATTTGCACCTTTCAGAAGCTTTCACACTAATAGACCACCGTCGAGCGTCTAGTAGGGTCTCGTTAGGCATAGTACTCAGCTTGGCGTCGGTCATCGGACTCGGTCAAGTATCTCAGCGCTGGGTTGAGTCATGGCAGGGTTTTTGTTCACGGCATTGCACGTGGTGGGCGTAAGCGTATCGCCAATAAATACTTGGTGAGGCATTGACAGGCTCAATTAACACTCTTATCCTCACATCCACCACCTCTCTAAAGGTTCCTCCAAAGGGTTTTTCACCCCTTTCTTTCTGCCATCATGAATTTAGATTTACTGCAAGTCCGTAATGTCGTTCACTCCTCTCTGTCATCACAAACTCGGTTTTGCAGGTGACCGCGCCAGGATTGGCGTACATCTGTCTTGGTGGTTTTGTAGTCTTGGTTCGTTCTATTTCCCTTTCAATACATCTAGTCGTCGCTGTTCAACGGCTTGTCATTTATATTGCTGTTACTCCAAGTGCTGATTCTTGACCGCAGTTCTCGATGATATCCCTCCTAGTAAAAGAGAAGGTTCGATAAACTTCATCTGTCATCTTAACCAATGATCCATATCTTCCCTAGCTTTATATCAATGAAGTCGTCCTCGGCACCGGCTTTGGGATCATCATAGGCCCTTACGCCGCCAATGTATTCACACCTCGTGAATGGGGCCCCTTGGAAAATACCATAACATTGGAGGTGATGCGCGTCGTCCTCGCCACCGGCCTGTTCGCAGTCGGAGTCGAATTACCATGCGCATATATGAAAGAGCATGCAAAAAGCTTGCTCATAGTGGTCGTGCCCACCATGGCCTTTGGTTGGGTCGTTGTCGCTGGCATGTATATCTTTGCCAAGTTAAATATTTACTTACTGATCATTATGTCAGGTGTCATACAAACATTGTTTCCGGAGCTCAATTACATCTCGTCTCTTTGCATTGCTGCCTGTTTGACCCCTACGGACCCAGTCACCTGTGCTGCTATCACCCGTCAGTCCTATTAACCATGACATCATAACTAAGCGACGTCTAAATTTGTTCTACAGGCGGCAAATTTGCCACAAAGCATGTCCCTGTGAATATTCGTCGGATATTGTCTGCGGAATCCGCAGCGAATGATGGTCTTGCATATCCGTTCCTTGCGATATCAATTTACCTCACCGTAGAGACGTCCGTTCGAACTGCTCTCGGCAAATGGTTTCTGGTGGGATGGCTATGTTCGTGCTCTCTTTTTATTCGACCTTTCGTAAGGTATTCATCATGTCCTACAATAGACCAGGTTATACTTGGCACTGTTTTAGGCGCCGTCCTAGGTCAGCGAAGTCGTTTGATCATCTGCGTACATCGATCTAATTGCATTTATGCACGTGATCCAGGCCTTCTATTTTCGAAGCTCATGAAGCTATCCCACAATAAGGGCTTTATAGATCGTGAATCATACGTGGCACAGTACCTGGCTCTGTCCATCTTTACTATCGGAATCGCGAGTACCATCGGTGCAGACGATCTTCTTGCAGCATTTGCAGCAGGTCTGAGTCCAATATGCATGCATGATCGCTTGAGTCTGACATCCATATAGGTTCTGCAATTTCTTGGGACGGTCACTTCAATGTACAGACAGAGGATGACACATTCTCTTCCGTGATAGACTATGTCCTGAATTGTGGCTGCTTCATCTACATCGGCGCTTGGCTACCTTTTGACGCCTACAGCTCTTCCGAGTATGGCATCACCCCTTGGAAACTCGTTCTCCTTATGATTGCTATTTTGGTTCTGAGGCGAATTCCACCCTTATTGGCGCTCTACAAGTTTGTACCTGAGATTGCTTCCTGGAAGGAAGCGTTATTCTCTGGCCACTTTGGTGAGTAGTTCTCCTAGTTATGCCGTCACTTTCACTTAAATCCTGTATACAGGTCCAGTAAGTCTCAAATGCCATTTCTCATCATTCACTAATGCGTCCTAGATGGGAGTCAGCGCAGTTTTTGTGTCTAGCTTAGCTCTTACGCGTCTACCCACTCCGGAACACCCGCCTGCAAATCAAGCACAGTATCTCGCCGCGACTATTCAGCCTATCGTTTCTTTTGTCGTACTTGGTTCTATCATCGTTCGTAAGTGCTGTTGCGGGTAGTATTGTATTATTTGTTGCTGAATCAGAATGTATACAGATGGTTTGTCTATTCCGTTCTTCAGCATAGGTCGTGGTGTACACTCTCGCACGACTTCGTTGACCATGACGTGGACCAACCGTAATCGTGTTACGGCCCCGGATTGGGTTATTTGGGCCCGCCGTGCTCCCGATATTGTGGAGTCAAGTGCAGATGAAGATGTAGAGCGAGGCTCCACCAAGATTCCTAAAGACAGCGATGAATCTGCTGTGGGTATTCCAGATACCCCAGTTGTTGCTGTAACTTTCGAGGATGTTCCTGGGGACATCGAGTCAGTCGTAACCAGACGTGGTAAGGATGTCTCTTCTCCAGAACTGGTGCAGGTCAGCGATTCACTCTCCATACATAGTCTACCAAACTAAACTAGCTGCAGGTTGAGGCTGTCAACAATCACGCTGGACCAGCAAATCTGGATAATGGTGCTTCGGATGATAATCAGATCAAGAATGCGCGCTTCCCGTCTGCTCAATAACAACTACCGAGTATCCGTGGATTGGGATGTATAAATTGTACTAACTTGTGCGGTCACGACTCGTCATGTTACATACGATACACTGCCCACATTGAAACCCATGTTCCCCCTTTACATTCCTTACTTCTTCTTCCGCAGCCCCTTTACCCTCCACTTTTCTTCGTGGTGGGAATAATGACATGCACGCATTCCCAAAGATGTCATGTTACCCCTTGGGTTATAAATGTCCGCGTGACGAACAATCAATTGCGCCAGTGTGGATGAGGATGGCATAATAAACACAAGTGGGTATGTATGCGGCGAACAGTCCAAACACTATGAAACCTCTACGAAGTATATGTTGATACCTATGTAATGGCGCAGATTAGTCCTGGATGGAAACTACTGATATAGTACATGTATGCGAGGGTGTACACAGAGGTGTACGTCGTAGGGAGGATGAAATCAACTGGAATCGATCATTCAAAAGGATTCGTGCGTCCAGCCTGAAGTAAACCCGTCAGTACAGTCAACAGCCTGAGTTAGAGTCTTTCCTACCTGGTTATCCCCTCCCCGGTCTGGTCCTTCGCTGCATCCACATAACCAGTCGTGCCACCATCTCACCTCCTGCTCGGGTTCTATGGGTTCCTGACGCAACATTGGTGGAGGTGTGGGATTCATGGGAGCCATGCGTGGTCTAGTCCCTTTAGGTGGTGGTGTTAAAGGCGGCGGTAACCCTAGCGGTTGTGGGGGAGGAACGAGTGTCGGCGTTACTGGCCGCGATGGGTGTGTATGCGAGTCCGAGTCAAAAGTTTCGGTCATCACTCTAGACCGCCTCTTCGTATCAACGAAAGGGGATAGTGGTGGGGAGACAAACCCCGGTACCGTTTCAGATGGATGTATGAACGGATTCGCAGTTGTGGGCGGGCTCTGATCGATGTCGTCGAGTGGTACCACGTCAATGGAGTCTCTAGATTGAAGAGCCCGGTGGTTACCCAACCCTCCTGGAGATGATCTGACTGATGGCCGCTTCGACAGGAGCAAGCTTGCCTTGCGTGTTACTTGTCCAAGTAAAGACGGACCGCCTGCGCCTCTATTAACATGCGCAGATTCTCGCGCAGCTCTCCGTCGTTCGCGTTCAGCCAACTCCCATCGACGTAGGTTCTGCCAGGATGGAAGCAATTTCAATGATCCGAACATGTTATAGGCGAGAACGAAAATAGCGCACCTCTTCTACTCGTCGCGTCTCGGCTGCATCGTCATTTATGGGAGGGTATGACTCTGAACTGGGGTTCTCTGTGGTGTCTTCTTCGTCTAGCTGCTTTTCTTTTCCCTTCTCTGTGCTCGTACTTGAACGTGCTGGTGAAATGTCTTGCGAGTCGCGCTGGTCATTATCTTGGGACCATAAATGAGCGTGACTGAGATCCTCTTCAAGGGTTGGAGGTGGATTAGAGGGCATGTTGTCGAGTGCAATGGAAGAGGACGGAGAAGACACCATGGATGGCATCCGCGTTGTTCGTGGCCGTCTGTAAGGCCTTAAGGTGTTGAGTGACCCCAAAGACAATTGAGTAATAGCTTAATTTCTCATGTACACAAACCGGAAAATTAATCTCCCCAGAAACAAAAAACCTGAGCTTGTGATAATTTTAGCTTACTAGCATTCGTCAAGAGCACATTAGCCGTGTGCACCCTGAAACAGAAGCTGGTGAGCCCCCCGGAAGCTCCCTATGACGTTTGGCTGTTAAGACGGCCCACAAATACTGTGGCATGGCGTCAAATCATTGCCGTGTATCACACAAGGGTTTTGCTGATGTTCTTTAAAGGATCCCAATTGATACATCTCCACGATAACTCAAAATCACCCTAGTTACTAGATAATTGATACATCCTGTTTTTCTTGGTAGTTACAATGTATGAACACTATGATACTGTGGATTGGTATCAGAGAATTTTGTCAGGACGAATGCCTGAGTGAAGGACTTCACTCTGACTCCTTCCTCAAGTTGGAACATCATGCGCCAAAATTCATCTCGTGCTCCTCTAGTATCCGTGGCGAAGTCAAACAGACGCAATCCTCGAATGTTGTACTGACATGTATACAGTTGTCATTGGCATGTGTTTCCCAGATGCTGATGATAAGACGTGGCACGAGAATAAATGGCGCGGTGTCGTACAAAAACAGTACGAGATACATCACCACTGTCTGTGTATGCCTGCATTAGAGTAGATCTCTCTAAAATCACGGGAGATCATACTGGAAGGTTGGCCCACAATATCGCCATGAAGATTTGACTTGCTAAATTCCTAGCGTGACTCAATGAATGCTTTCAGAGAATACATCAACAAAGGGGAACTTACATGACAAAGTATACGACATGATATCGGACGATCATGACTACATAGGTGTTAGGCTTCATTTGAAGTTCCTTCCGTTCTTTCAGGTGCTTCACGAGGACGGCGATGGCGAGAACAACCAGTAAAATATCATAGCATAGGATGGGGATGGAAGCATATATCGCAGGCATAGGCCCAATGTGGAAGACAGCCTCGCAGTACTTGATGTTTGGAGTTATTATTACTTCTTCCACTATGCACCAAGGCATCAGCTTGTACAGAATTCGATCAAAGTGGAAATTTACCTGAGATCGCCGAGGGTCGACTCCATAAAAATATATCCATCGTTAAATAGAGCGCGACGACTGGTAGGAACAAACCCGATAGGACATAAAGTATGAGCTTGGATTGGCCGTATATGGCGTAAAGACGCCAGATGAGAATGACTGCAAATGCAAAATGGGTGCGCGTAAAGTATGCATATGACTGTGACTTACCTTTCGCCAAGGCACAATATACAGAAATCCCCCATTGCATAAACAGAAATATACCATAACCTATTTCAATTTCATGATGAGAAAGGCTACTAGTTTTGGTTGAATATGACATACTCACAACTAAACAAGAGGTCAGCAGCAGGTCAGGCCTAATTGTAAAACGAAATTCTGACGTACGGCTAAACCTGGGTCAACTAGAATTCTCCAAAGAAAGATACACTCACTGCTTCGGGTATGTAAAACAGACCTCCCCCTAGCACTGGTAGGTTAATTAGGGCTCAGTTGGTATCACGTCACGTACAGCAGGCGCAAGTCCTAGACGTCAGCGTCAACATACAATGTACCACCTGAAGGATACAACCACTACGACGTACATTACAACCAAAATACCAAAATATCGAGTCTGACATATCAACAGAAATGGGAAACCATGAAGCACTTTGGCAGGGTGGAGCTCACAGCAAAGTATAGGTATGTCATCACTGACCACTGTCTTCCCTGCATATCCAGTCAGTTCCGGTTCTTAATTTCGTCTGGGTTGAGCTCTAACCCAAACATACGCGACCTGTGATGATATGATTATGAGTACTTGCCAAAGACAAAATGAGCTCCTCGTTACCTCTTTCTCGAACTGAAGCACTAGATAATATTACGCTCAGCCGCACCGTGACTGCAAGGTTCATGGAAGCTACTGACCGTACTCATATGATATTGTGGTAATGGTTGCAACTGGAAAACGACGAAGTTCAGCACAATGATTCATTCCAACAAGGCTGACGAACCTGAGATGTAGTTATTCCAGTCAAGAGCATAGAGAGATGCTTCTAGTTCCGACATGAGACTGTGCAGATCAAATGGCGAATTCGAAGAGTGAGGGATGGGCTGCTACAATATTTATAGGGCAGGCCATCAGAATCTCGTTAACTTCAAGTTGTAAGTGTGAACTTGTGGCGTCCTAATGAAATCATGCCGACCTTGAGGCACCGCACTTTTCCATCTGATGTCGTCCTCGATCATATCTGATACCTACGGAAAGGTCCAACGGAGAGGTCATACGTATATCGATGATCCCACGGCTGACAACTTAAAGGGTCACCGGTGGCTGTAACTCCTTCTTGGGCTAGATTTCGTCTGTCCTCTCTTGCTTAATAGGTAGCAAGGGCGGTGCTTATCTACCCCGACATGTGCTGGAAAGCATCACATGAAGTCCCACCACCATTCATATAACCTTGACAAGTAAGTGCATCATGTGAGATCGAACCTCAGCAAATACTAAGCGAACCGTTTGCAGGCCCTTGACATATTCAAGTTGACGTCCGTACGGCAAAGTGGCCTTGGATGGACACAGTGATTACGATGTCTTCGAGGAAGATAACTGCGAGGAAGTACCTTATCTGTCATTTATGAGAATATGAGTAATTTGACTATTTGCAGAATAGCAATGAAGTGAGGGCCTGCATGGCTCTCAACAGTGGGAACGGAGAGCAGGATCGACGGGGGCGGCACTGGGGAGAGAGAGGGTAGAGATCCTCTGCCAGTGGAATAAATCATGCTGTGCTGCACGATCACATAGAGCACGAACATACAGAATCGGCCCTGATTTACTGACTCGAAGTAAGTTAGGGAATCCTGCCAAGGCTGCAGCGCTGGAGTTTGAACACTTGGCTCGGAAGCGTGAGTGCACACTTCGCTCTACCTCGATTCTGGCCTGACTCTTGAGCCTGATTTTGGAACCGGCATGGCAAAATCATACGCGCTGGTCTTGTGCTGTGGTAGCTCGGAAACTCAACATGTACGATCCTCAAATGTCGTTGTGACATGTGCGCAGTTTTCGTTGGCATGTGCATCCCAACTTATGCTGATGATCAGACAGCGCAAAAATAAATGGTTGAAGAGAATAGCTTCTAGGTCCCTAGACTAGGGATCGGATACCGTAGCTGCCGTCTGGCGTGGCGGCGCCTGGCCATCAATTCTGCAGCTACTGGTTGGTTACTGGTCAGATCTTCCCTTACGTGCCTGTCTACCCAAAAGTGGACAAAAAGATTGGCATATGTGACTCTGCTTATTTGCGCGCCTTCCCGCGCTGCCGCCACCCTCTCAACCGCGCCACAGCCGGTGCACACCTCCCTGCATGGTGCACCTTCAAGTTGGCTTGCATCTTCCTGTGCTGTTCCCTACAAGTGATGGGTCTCGTCATTTCCCACTACCTGTCTCTATTGCATCAATGTGTCTTTATTTCTCCTGTCTCGTCATATTAATATTGTCTCGTCTCAGACGGTCACACTGGCTGTTTCTGCTTGTACCCGCCCCTCCCCTTCCCCTTCCCTTCCATTGCCCACCATCCCGTCCCAGTTGGACTTGTCATGCTCAACAATGGTATATCATTGGCTTTCGGGCCGTTTGAGGACTTGTAGTACGTGTTTCCCTGATTACGCTTTATTTGACAAATCGAGTAGAAACGCATGTGGACTGGTCCTCCTACTACTCGCTCTTGTCTTAGTGCTGACACCTACTCTGCTATGCTCCAAGTAAGTATACCTGTCACACACGCTACTTGTTCGGTTGCGCTCCTAAAGTGTCTGCAACAGCAGTGGCGCATCTTCCCTTGCCTGCCATCGCCTTACCCGGCTTACCGTATCAGTGTAATCTGTTGCACTTCCAGCAGCCGAATAATAAGATTCTCCCATTTGCATCTGTTGTATCCACATCCCAAATCACATTTTATGTAGGACTTTTACTTGCATGTATCCAACACATGTCGCACCATGCGCCCCCCGCCTCATGATTGAGATCAAACACCATCTAAGTATTTGCACTGCTCAGTGCTAGCTGTACGCATTTGGAAGCACTACAGTAGCTCTCCGCTTCAGCGGCTTCAATTGCTGCGGGGCTCACACGTCGCATAGATAAACCACTGGAATATTAGACCAACCACTTATTTTTGTCCGTCCTAATAACTAGCCGGCGCAGTCAATAATTAAGGTTCATTCTAGGTATATATAAGGGGATGTTACTGGAATGTTGAATATAAGATGGGAATAGATCAGTCAGTTCGTGGTGAAAGAGTCCCTCGATGAAGAGTCAAAAGTTCGAGCGCCTGTGCACGATACCCACACCCACCGCTGACTCGCTTGCATCGTTATTTAATCGTATTCGCGCCCGTGTTCATCTGTCAGGCATTGTTGTCTCAGCCCGCTCGACTTGTGGACCGAGTGCTGGATCATTGGTGTCGATGACTCTTCCGATACAGCGCGGCTGCTCCGGTTGCTGTTGCCATTACCGAGAGACAAGATAGAGGTACGAGCAATTTCCTTCATTTGCATAATGCTCTGGCGCAAGGCATTCTGCACGACACACATTAGAGACGGTATCAAAGATACGGGGTCCAGCGGATCACTTACCTGTTCGAGCCAGTACTGCAGGCGCTTCTCACGTTCCTTGTCACGTTGACGGCGGTGGATCAGGAACAAGGTAATCAAAGTGGCAAACATGCCTGGCAATCCGACCGTCGGGTCAGATCTGGCAATTCAAATATTTAAAACATTGGGCCTGACCTCCGAAGATACCAACTCCGACCATGAGATATACCCAGATCCCAAAGTGTTTTGGCGAGTCAGCACTTGAACCACAAACACCTTTACTCAAGCAGTTAAATGACGAACATCTGGACATCCAGTCAATATCATGATGCATCCTACATCGAACTCGAGACATACTCTTTATCTGCATCACAGGTCTCTGCAAGCTGTTTTGTCTGGATGCAAACCAACGACTGCGAGTCGCAATACGACCCAGTTTGACAATTGCCTCTGGAAAAGGAGATGAGCACCACGCTTAGAAGGTCTGGGGCACGCCACAATCCTACACACCGGGACACAATATCAGCGAACTCGTTAGTTCCCGCATAGGCGACGTAGGCGGTGTTCTCGACTTCACAAGACTGGCCGACTGTGACATTTGCCCACCTAAATCAAACAATCAGCACACAGTCATTCAACACCAGTTTCCGACTCACATGCAGACATTGTTCAGACAGACGGAGCCATTTACGTTATGGCCGTACTGCGAGCCATCAGCCAATTCCTGCCAATTCGGAGGCGGCTCGCATTGGTCTGCGCAATGAACAAGGAGTCAGCGAACGTCACCACATGGGTTCCATGGGGCACACCATCACGATTCAGCTGGCACGGACTACTAACAGGTAGCAAAGGCTGACACGCATCGCTCTCGTCGGGACAAAACTGCCCAGCAGGACACTTTGGTGGTATGTAGGCGTCTGGTGGATACCCAAATGGATATTGGTCCTTTCTGCAGCCCTTCAGTTCACAAGTGCCCTGCGACGAGCAGTATGTTTGTGCGTCGCAATCGCTATGAAATTGATAGGTGCCGAATTGGAGGCGATTGTTACCGACGGTGCAGTTCTCGCCTTTGGATTGACTGCCAGCGTAAACGAAGGTATTCCAAGAAGAAAAAAAGAGTGTAAGAGATAGTAACAGCATGACAGCAAAGGAAATCGAGAACAAGGAGAAGAGAGACACAAAAGTATTGAGTTACTTAAAGTTCAACGTTGCAACGTTGTGACTGCATCTCATTTACGTCAATCCGAACTGGCTGTACCGATCAAGTTCCGCCAAGCAAGTTTAACCCCATCGATCTTTACTAGATAAGCCATTCTTTTGTAATTCTTCGTTTGCAATATTGCTGCAGTGAATTAGTAGTAGCAGATTTGTACATTATACTATACTACTTGCCACATCCTGGGCAGCAATGAACAACATCGTGAACAAATACATCGCACTCTGTACAGAAATCGTTGTGACAATCAGGGCAGCGATACCGACCCCAGGGACTAATACCCTCCGAAGCTGCCGCAATTGACGCGGAAGTCGAAAATATCCTTGCACATGCGTGGCAAGCGACCGTCGGCTCGGACTCGCCCTCCATCGACGTCCTGAGATCGACAGCGTTGATGATTAAAAAAAATCTATTAAAATGCCACGTACACAGCTTCATAGGGTTTTACCGGGAACAAATGATGATAGCTTCGTGCCAGGTGAGGTGAGCTCACGATCATGAGTCCACAGATGTCGCAGTCGGTCGGGACATCACACACTTTCGCCATACATCTCGGACACAAGAAGCCTTCGTTCTTCATGTCCGAATGACAGGCGCATAAGCTTGGTGGTGAGGAATCAGGAAGTCGAGTAGGAAATCCCATCATCATCAAGTCGGCAGCTGGGTTTGCCCCTGGCCCTCCTGCGCGAGCGACGGCTCGTTGTGCAGGAGGTGGAACGAGCTCAAACAAGATATCTTTAAAATGCCCCTCGTTCATAGCCACGCCAAATTGACCTGTCATATGGATGAATTGACATATTTCATATAAAAGATTCTACTTACCACCAGTCTTGTCACATAGATCCCTGGCGATCTTCATTTCTGCGGCAAGTGCGACGACCGATATGCGTATTTTATTCTTTACGCAGGCATCTAGGGTGTCGTGAATATTTCCAGGGTCGCATGTCGTTAGAGAGCCAAAGATGATCAGGATCTCCCGTGAAGAGTGAGTTGGCAAGTGACTGCATAGATCAAAAATAAGTTCGAAGCGTTAAGAAAATAATGCACCTCATGCTGCTCCGTGCCATCTCGATGGCATTTTGGAGGCTTGGTTCTCCCGTGGGCTCAAGTCGAGTTCTATCGCTGAGACATTTGAGGACATCTTGCGGATTGCCTGACAAAATGAATATATTACTCGATGACGTATCCTGGAGAAACTTACCAGACATCTCCCCAATTCTTTCACCAACACCGGCACGCATACCAACGACGCCAATCTGTCCCAGAGGATTCTGGTCAAACCACTCGACTACAAATTCCCTTGCGTACTGAAGCATGAGGTCGAAGCGAGTCGGGCGCATATCGCGGTCCATCATCGCTGCTGAAAGGTCGAGTAGGAGAACCAGATGTCGGATGATCGTACGGCGGATAGCAGCAGCGGGTGCAAGCAACCTGGCTCACTAGGTCAGAAAAACTACAATAGGAAACGTGGAATGGATGGACCTCCTTCGCCTCCCCCGCGCCATAAGATCCTCTACCGCACCCTGCAGACTTCCAGCTTCATCTTCCTGCACAGTGTCCCATGAACGCGTATAGGATGCCTCCCAGGTGTAAGCTTGCTGTAAAAATATGAATATAGCCCCGTGACGAAATGCTGCCTTGCTGACCTCCTTCGCTTTTGCCTTGCCTTTGTCCTTCTTGCGCTTGTCAGTGGTTTTGCCCTTTCCCTTTCCTTTCCCGCGGTGTTCAACATCACCGAGCAAGGAGATGTCGGAATCAGAATCTACATCCATGAAATTGTCATCTCGATTCCTGGGTGCCATGACTGAAGCTGGGACCTTTCGTGAGGTGGGGAAATGAAGCCTTGCAAGATCCAACGATCAAAACATGCATGAACAGATGACTAGTTCATCCAAGTCAGAGACGGCGGCTCGGAGGCAATTACATACCCTCAAAATGCTGTACAACTGTTACCCATTTATATCGTGACTACTTATTCTTATATGAAATTTCAGCGCTCGGCACTACATATATCTCCTACAAAGACAGTACAAAAGTGTGGCACAACAGTCGCTACTGCTTGTATACTAATACACGTCATGAGTCATGAATACAGAACATACCAAGCTAAACAGATACCCTGATCAAATGTTGCAGGGCCGTGATGTCCATGTCCGGATTCCGCGGAGTGATACTGCAAGGGAATGGCATAGGTCGCCTAACAGCCAAAAATCAACAAGCCATCTCTTCAGAGAAATTTTACTGAACCCCACGTACACGGTAAGCCCTCCATGCCAGTGTGGTTCGATTTCAATTTCTCTACCAGTCTCGTCTTTGGCCTTAGAAAAATTGAATACTGCAAGCATACAGGCCATGGCAGACCATATAGAAGCTTCGGCGAGGTGGCGACCAGGGCATATCCGTCGTCCGAATCCCCACACGACACTCACAGTGTCATCAGTCAAAGTGCCATCTGAGTTCAGGAAACGGTCAGGATTGAATTCGGACGCATTTGCGTATTTATCTTCGTTGTGGCACATCGCCCTGAGGAGGATTAAGTTGCAAACCACAGAACAATTGATGTTCGTACCAAACATTCGGGGTAACCGTAGCACCTGTGCTGCGAATGAACATGGACTTCAGGATGAGAAGAAGCTCGCACACCTTTGGGTATATAATGACCTTCGTAAACGTCATCTTCGACAGCAGCATGCATAATTGCTATGATAGATCAATAATCCAGTTGCGTTGTGCTGAGGTGATCGACGCACCAAGAGGGAAAACTGGGCGCCACCGCATGCACTCCCGTAAAATAGCGTCAATGTAGGGCAAGGATGGACGATCGTGGAATGTCGGCAGTCTCTCTGGGCCGACCTCACTATCAACAAGTTTGTGCGCTTTCTGCTGTACATCTGGGTGAAGAATCATCACCAGCAAGAAATTCATCAACACAGCGGCTGTCTGGTAGTTGTCAGCGTTAGACCGAATCACTGACTGCCACTTTCGGCCTACCGTCTCAGTGCCAGCTGGTTAGAGACAGTCCCATTCAGCCTGACAAATTTACACAGAAGCATTTGCTCACCCCCAAACGCGGTTGCTGCAGATTCTTTTACTGCTTTCTTCATCCAGGCAGAATCACCGTAGCTGTGATCAAGCTCCAGCAAATGATCAGCGACCATGCAAGAAGAAATGGACCCCGTAGCCTGAAGAGAATTTAAGAATAAAACATCTCACGAAATGTTGCACTTACCAGACCACTCTCCGTGTACGCAAATGGGTTTTCCAAGCTTTCTGTGGCCAATTCCTTGGCTAAAGGTGAAACTCTCTTGAGGCGCATACCAGGGAGCCAAGAGGGGAGGTGGAGAACTGCAAATTAGGCGGTAAGAAACTGCCGTATATGATGAACGACCGAGCGTACGGGAAGGGAAAGCACTAAAAATGGCAGCTACCCCCGGTTTCATCTCTTTCAGTGTGATATCCAGACCCATGGTTGCGCGCTCAATCATGTAGTCACGACGTCGTGCTGCATCATACGAGTACACGGCAGACATGATGACTGAACCTGAATAGCTGGAGGATTGTTTCAATACTAAGGTACTGGGTAGATCCGCATAGAAATCCACTCACACTTCAAAAAGTTTCGGGTAGTCCAAAGGATCTTCCAGGAGGTTCAATAAAAGGTCATGACTTTTCGTTACTTGCATGGGCCGAAAATTGGGGACTGCATCTTGTCGGAAGGACTGGTGGATAATTTTCCGCTGAAGCCGCCATCTGCTACTGTAACGCATGAAGGCGGTAGTATAGTCAATGCCAAATCTTCATAACTAATTAACAAGAATACTTGAGAATTCGAATAATTCATACAATTCATTGGTTGCGATGTCTGGTCGGTCAGAATAATTCTGTGAGCGATGTTCAAGGAGGTCTCTTGCAACTCGCTCAGAGTTGATGACGATGTTATCCTGACCAAAAAGCCGAGTGTATACGACGTCACCTAGAAAACATTAGTTACTCATGGTGACCTGCATTCTGTGGGACGACTTGCCGTATTGATCGCCCCAAGCCTTGTAGGTAAGCCAAGGGGCAGTCACATCAACTGCCAGTGCACTGCCTAGGATTGGGAGTAAAGGGGGACCCGGTGGTAATTTACCACTGTGAGGCAACTTCGGTTTGGCAAGGTAACTTCTGAGTGCCAAGCTGATGGCAAAGGCGGCAAGAACTACTTCAGGCCTACCCATGAGGAGGTCCGACATGGAAAGGGTTGATAATAGAGAGTGAGCGGCCTGTGGTGGTCCTTTATATTGACAACCACAAAACAATTTACCTTGAACGAGCCCCAATTTGAAGTGCGAATCGCCTGATCAAGTTGAAGTGATGCAATTCCCGATAATTGTCGGACGAGTAGTAACACTTGTCATCCGAGCCGCCGGAAATGCGTGCTTATATATGTTAGATATAGTCAAGTACTAAGTACTGAAGACTAATACATAACCTCCAGTGGCTATATATATCTAACATATATAAACACGCATTGCCGGCGGCTCGGATGACAAGTGTTACTCGTCCGAAAATTATCGGGAATTGCATCACTTCAAGGTACGAGCGATCAACTTGACCGCATGTACAACCATTCAATGACCCCCATCACCTCATGACAGCTGAACAACAAATCAAAAAATTTATTGACACAGGATATACTAGTAGATGGTCATTGGTCACCAGAGTTCGCATTTTTTTTTGCAACAACAATAGCTCCTGAACGTCTAGGTCAAAAAAGTACAACTATTTTACTGTTGGATAGCCTGATATCGAAAATACAATGCCTGCTAGTTTTTTTCTCGAGATGTGAAGAGATGAGTCCAGCGGAGAGTTACCATGTGGCATGCCAGAGTGGGATTGTCCCAAGAGTTTGCATTTTTGTCACACTATGTCACACCCTGCTGTCGAACCATTTCACACACTGCACAACTGCATACTATTCCCTACCAAGGGGGTAGCAGGATTAGTGATGTTCCGGCCCGGCTTCAAGCCCCGGGTCAGCCCAAGCCG